ATAAAAACAACCTGCTCAGTCCGTATGATGTTACTTGTATATATGTTTTCAGGGCTGACCATTTGGTATTGGATAAAGAAGACTATTTCTCCAGCTCTCATCATTCCTTAATTGCTGTAGTTCTTTGTCTAGGGTTGAGGCCTGTCCCCTTTCCCACTCATGAGCATGTCTGTTGGTATCGTACTTATGCAGGTTATGTTTAGGAAGCCGTATCGATGAGACTTCGTGGTTGCAGCTTCTCTGACATGGAGACACAGTCTCACTGCAAATTTCCTGACCCTCTGCTCTTGCAGTCTTTCCACCCTCTCTCCAGCAAAGATCCCTGGCTCTTAGGTGAAGGAATGCTGTTGTAGATGTTTCAGTTCGGGCTAGGCTGTACAACTCTGCATTTTGATTGGTTGTGCTTTTCTGTAATAGTCTTTGTCTGTTGCAAAGATTATTAGTTTCCTTGATGATGGGCAAGGAGTTCACTTATCTGTGGGTATGAGGATAAATATCTATATCATTTGATTCCTTTAAACACACAATATAAATGCTTTATTTAACAGCTGCAGGTCATCCCGTGGGCCAAGTGGTGGATATCCAGGACCTAGAAGTAAGGGTCACACAGCTACCAAGCACATCACCCTCTCCCACGTGGCCTTTCATGTTGCTGATTATAGGGGACTGGTGCCATTCATAAAGTCCACGTATACCTGCAGGCACTGCCCCTGTGAACTGGCGCTTTGGCTCCCCTAGCTAGCTTGATGGGGTGCACGGGACTTGTGTCCATGATGGCGGCATTCTAATGGGAGCTCCACAATTGATTTTTTTAAATTTTTATTTCACGTACATTGGTGTTTTGCCATGGGTGTTGGGTCTCAGAAACTGGAGTTACAGACAGTTGTGAGCCGCCATGTGGGTGCTGGGAATTGAACCAGGGTCCTCTGGAAAAGCAGTCAGTGCTCTTAACCACTAAGCCATCTCTCCAGCCCCACATTTGATTTTTAAAGAGATTAATAGAAAAAAATAGGAACCACATCCTTTTCAAATAATCTCTGAGAGCATATCTGAAGAAATCTAGGAGAGAAATAAGCAAGGATTAGGCATGAGGGCTGAGGGAAAAGAATGAAGTCCAGATAGTCCCTCTTTTGTACCAACTACTAAGTTTTGCATTTTATGATACTGTGAAAGTAATGCATATGCAGTGGAAACTGAAGTTTGAATTTTGGCCATTTCCTGAACTAGTGCTGGCTGTAAATATACTTACCTATGATGGTGCTGGGAGCTGCAGGGAACCATTAAAACTCCAGGTATGTAATTTCTACATAAATAACAAGGAAGCCAATTTAATTCCTTAATGTATTTACAAATGTGATTTAAAGCTCAAAATGATGATGTTCCAATTTTGTCTTAGAGTGTTTGGTTATTGTGTTTGTTTTTTGCAGTGCTGAGGTTAGAACCCCAGGTCTTGAGGATGCCAGGCAAGACTACCCCATCACTGAACTACGCTCCTTGCCCCTTAGAATGGTATTTAAAATCATTTAAAATTTCAATTGGTAAAAGCCAGGTAGTGGTGGCACATGCTTTTAATCCCAGCACTTGGGAGGCAGAGGTAGGCGGACCTCAGTGAGTTCAAGGCCAACCTGGTCTACAAAGTGAGTTCCAGGACAGCTAGAGCTGTTACACAGAGAAACCCTGTCTCGAAAAACCAAAAAAAAAAAAAAAAAAAAAAAAAAAAGCAAATTCTCATTTAATGCCTTTTGTATGCTCTAATAAGTGAGCTGTTTGCTGCTGAATGCCTCCACTTCTCTGGTGTGAGATCAGCCATGAACAGCTCCGTGGAGACAGACTCCAGTTAGAAGACCCTGGCCTCCGCTCTGCCTCCTCATACTCCAGTAAGCAACGCTTCAGCAGACTGCTTCTGACATTCCAGTCCAGTGAATCACTAGACCAAGAACATCCATAAACTCCATTGCATTATAAAAATTGCAGCAACGACCCAGTGGTCTTCTGTGGCTCCTCAATATTACCAGAGGGTTTCATATTTCCTCCCGACAATTGAGGTTGTGCACCGGCTAGCTCAGCCCCATTATCTCAGGTTTCCCGTGCCCTTGGAAGGGGAGACTTCAGACACCCGGCCACCTGTTACAATCTCCTGTTTTCTGACAAGAGTTGAGAGTGGGGGAGTTCAGGAGTTGCGGAAGAATTGCCAAACTGCCCCTACTTGCCAGCTGATAGTCATTTCTATTTGATGTGGAAATTAAAAAAGCTGAATACCATTATTAAATCTTATATAAATAACAATTCCCCTTTTTGTTGTTTTGATTTTGGTTTTCCGAGACAGGGTTTCTCTGTGTAGCCCTGGCTGTCCTGGAACTTGCTCTGTAGACCAGGCTGGCCTCAAGCTCATCAAGATCCGCCTGCCTCTGCCTCCTGAGTGCTGGGATTAAAGGCTCATACCACCTCCTGCTGGGCTAAATAACAATTCCTTAATATCCACTCTATTTTTACTTTGCTTCAATTGTCTCAAAGACGTCTTTTACAATGTGTTTGAATCACTATCCAAGTGGAATTAACATACTGCATTTAGTACTACTTAATGTTTTATTGCAAATATTGCTTTTCAAAAGATTCTGTAACTGACTTCATTATTTCTGAGCCATTTTCCAATGTGGTTGCGTCAATTCCAATCCTGTAGTTAGAGATTCACTTCCTCTTTCCCTTTTGATATTACCAGACATTTTGTTGCCTATCTACTAACAAGCTACATTCTGAGAAGAAATATGAGCATCTCCATCAAATAATGGGCAGTCAAAAGTTTTAGAAAACACTTTATACTCACTGAAAATAATAATATGCCTCTACGCTGCCTAAAAGTCACATTTTTGGCTCCCAAGTATGTCAGGAACATCCTATTACATACTTTTGGCTCTTGTTTTGCTTTTAGTGCTAGTAGATCAAATTTGGGTCTCCTTCATGTTAGCCACAGGCTTTTCCAATGAACTATACATCCCAGCACTCTAGTATGTATTAATGAAAGAATACAGACCATAGGTAATTATGAGCTGCTTAGAATTTCCTGGGATGTCACTAATACTGATTTTTTTTCCCTCCTGTGAAGATCCTTTGAACACATGTGAGGCTGAGAGCAGATGCTAGTTCTACTGTAGGCAACACCAAAATTCCTATAACCACTTTTCCCCCTTCTGAGTATCTTGCCTGGCAGGCTATTTGCTCTGATGAGGTCACAATGCTTTGTTTGTGGAGTGCGCCCCCTCCCCCAAATACAGGGTTTCTCTATGTAGCCCTGGCACTGGCTCCGTAGACCAGGCTGGCTTTGAACTCATAGATCTGCCTGCCTCTGCCTTCCGAGTGCTGGGATTATAGGCACGTGCCACCACCACCTGGGTGTGGAGTCATCTCTTATCTACACCTTTAGGAAGAATCAGCTTTTAAACCAATTGAACGTTAGCTGGTAAATTACGACCTGCAATCATAGGGACAAAGATCTCTGGAAGGAATAGTGGACAACCTTCCAACTTACCTCTTTCACTGGGCTCTGTGGGCTTTATTCCATGTTGTAATGGCAGCAACACAACTGAACTGACGCCCAAGGTGCTTGGCCGATTCTTGATTTCCAAGTCACACAAACTCCAAGATCACATTTTACATAGGAAGGGAAAAAACCCATTTCTGGCAATAGAGTGAAGTCTTAGAGAGGGAAGAATACCAAAAAAGGTTTCCTCTGTGGTGAAGATAAACTGTGTTGAATATTATGCCATAGAATAACTGGCATATTTTAAAGATCTTTTCCTTTTTTGAACGCATTTCCTTACGGATGTTCCCAGAGAACATCGTGATCTATCTTAAGTGTGAAGAGTGATATTCTACATTGCCATTATATTTATATCGTAGAGAAATGTCTAAAAAAGAAGGCAAGTCAATGAAAATAAAGATTTAAACTTTTATTCGGGTAAAGCAAAAACCTTCTACTCAACATGTCAGCCTCCTTGATTCTTTTAGAGATAGAACACGAGGTGCAAGCTTTTGCCTTCCATTTTCCTCTTATAAACCAAATGACATCTTCGGTTCCGGAAGAGCTTTAAAAATGTGACTTCTGATAAACGTTGGCAGAACTGGTGCATTCCTAGAATAAATTCTGTATGCTCAGCGTTTCCTGCCCCAACTCATTCATAGGTCGGCTGATCATGAAACTGCCCACCACAGAATAGGCTGAAGAGGGAGGCAGGCATGGCACAAGGTTCAAGAGTATTAGGACATGAGCTACTACCCTGAGAATTCGTGACTAGAGTCAATCGCTAATCAAAGTTAACAACTACTATGATACACATGGAGTTTACGATTGAGAGGCTTGGGTAAGGGAGCTAGAAAATCGCACACAAAAGAAAACATTATTCTTTCCCCTTCCCTTCCCAGCACGTTTCAACACTAAAAATCCAGTTGCTCTTGCCTTTAAGATGACAATGCTGCCCTGCTCTCAGTTTTCATTCCGTCCTATAAGGAAACGTGTGACTCTCTGCCCTCCACCCCCCACTCCACCCCAAATTAGGAAATGCCTCCCGGGTCTGCGAACACGAGAAAGCATCCCCAGGCGAAGTTTTATCTGGCTAGGAAGGCGTGAAAACGCGGTAGGTGTAGAAAAGACATGAGAAGGGGGGATTAAAAAAAAAAAATACGAAACAAAACAAAAAACAAACTATAAACCTTACACCTGTAGCTGGGATTTGAGACCAAAAAAAAAAAAAAAAAAAACCCAAAAAAGAACCCAAAATCCGCGGATCCAGACAGCTTCGTGACCTGGGCGTAGTGCGGCGGGTCGAACCCAAGCAGCGCCTCGGCCAGCACCGAGGGTGGGCCAGCGTGTAAACTGGCTGGGCTGCGAGGTGCCCAGGGCGCCCCGCCCCGCCCCGCCCCGCCCCGCCCCCGGCGCCCGCGCGCCAGCCAATGGGAGGCGCGGGCCCCTTCCCATCGGCGACTCCACCCCCGTGCCCGGGATGTTGGGCCCCCGCGGCGTGACGCGAGCACGGCGGCTCCGCCCCCTGCGTCTCTGGCCTCGCTGGCCTTGGGGGGATGGTTTCATCATGGCGTCAATGCAGGTGAGCGGAGCTGCTGCAGCGGGGCGGGCGTGGGGGCCGCCGAGACGGGGCGAGCGTCGGCGCGGGGGCGGCGTCCGGGGCCGCGGGGCCCGGCTCCGGGCGGCCTTCCCTGACCTCGGGGCGTCGGGGAACCCTGGTCGGCGAGCGGAGCGGGGGTGTCGGCCGGCGGCCGCGGACCGTCGCGGCCGCGAAGTTGTGGCATAAAGGCGGCCGAGGGGAAGAAAGGGCGAAGTTCGGCGTGCGCTCTGCGGTGGGGGCTGCGCTCCGCGCCCCCCGCGCGAGGACGGCCGCCGCTTGGCTCCCCGGCCACCGGGGAGATGCTCGCCTCCTCCCCCTCCCCCTGCGGTCCCCGGCAGGGTGGGAACAGCTGTGCCCGCCGCCGTCGCCCGCGGTCCCGGCGGCCGGATAGGGGCAGAGCGTGGGGCAAGCCGGGGAGCGCCTCGCCGGGGACGGCCGCTTGCCCACGGCGCTCCGCGGTCTCTGCCCGGCCTCCCACGCGCAGCCTCGGATCGCCCGGCCCCGGCTTGCTCTTCTTCGATCTTCATCCCGTGCCCCGTGGGTGCCTCCTCCTGTCAGCCCGCACTCCGGGGCATTCCCCGGCAGCCCACGTCTCCTTCGAAGCCGCCCTTCGCCTGTGTCCCCAGCGTCCTGTGCCACCCAGGGTGCGAGCTCGTGGGCCCGCTCCTCGGCCTCGGGAGAAACTCGCTCCCTTAATATATTTTTTTTTCCTTAGGATGCCCCACCCTTGCGGACTCGGTAAGGCCGTGGCTCCTTTGCCCTTCTTCCCCAGACCTTTAAAACCTTAGTTTGGTAGAAGGCGCCTGTTAACCCGTGTTTTATCTATCTGACTTGACGGTGGTTTTCTTGCCTTCCAACTTAATGGACTCCTTTTTTCCCTCTTCCAAATCCAAGGGAAAAAAAATTTTTTTTCAGGCAAAGATGGCAACCACAATTGTAGTTTCTAGAGATTGCATTATCTATAGCTGGCGTTTAATTTACAGATAGGGCTAGCGGTGTTAAAGCACATAGAAGAGAGGGCAGAACTCTTGTAGAGTGTCAGCGGAATGCCTTTTGGAGTTTGAACATCCTCTTGAGTTAAGAGAGAAACCACATTTTCCTTAGAAGAATGTTTGGCTTTTGTTTCTAGAAGAATAAGCAAGATCTCATTGTTGGCGCTTCTCTGTGCTGGAAATGTTTTTCATTCTTGCGCATTTTTTCCATCTTTGATTGTGTCTTTCAACCTGCTTTCCCTGCAACACTGTTTGCATTTGCGTGTCCCTTTGGCCTCTCCTGCAGAACAATAAAACTGCAAGGAGCGTTTCTAGTTGAAGAGATGTCACGAAATGGTGCAGCAGAAACAAGAACAATTTCAGGAAACGTTATACTTTGCACTCTCCCCAGAGACGTTAGAGAAGTTTCGTCATTTGAGGCCAAAAAAGGAACTGTGGAGCACCAGTTGGACAGCAGATGGGCTATATGATTGCTTTAACATTTTTATCTGTACTAAGACATTGTTAGGACCTCTCGAAGATGATCTATCTCAAGATAGAAGCATTATTTAAGACTAAAAGATTAAAATCCACCACACTTGTGGTTGTATTTGGCTTTGGCAGGAGAGCTGTTTAGCTTTTACACTTCAAGTATTTGGAAAAAGCAGGTTTGTTTCCAAGAGAGATTGATATTTTTGGTGTTTACTCCGCGCCTTCAACAGTGGGGAAAATGCTTTTTAATGCCTGTTCTGTGCTTCAACCACAACCTTAGACTCTAGTGCACCAGGCTTTCATTCCTTTGTCTTCTGATTAACATGGGGAACTGACCCTTTCTGTTTTAATTAAAGTTAAAGCTTGACCTTTGTATGTATTTCAAAGTATCTGATAATTTTTTAGGGAACTAGCATTTTGATGAAGATTTACTTTTATTGTGTGTGTGTTGTGTGTCTCTGTGTGGGTGTGTGCATGTGAATGCAGGTGCCTTTGTAGGCCATTTCTGATCTACTAGGGCTGGAGTTATAATAGGTGCTTGTGAGCTTCCTGACTTGGGTGCTGGGAACCAAACCAAGGTCCTCTGCAAGGGTAGTTCTTGCTCTTAACCACTGAGCCGTCTATCCAGCTCCATAGCAGACTCTTTGAAGGACACTTTGGTGTGGTTTTTATTTCTGTATCTTTTCGAAAAGTTTATTTCCTGACCACTTGACAGCAAAAGTTACCTCTTTTCAAAGTAACTTAAACATAACACTATAACTAAATGATCAAATGTATTCATTAACTGAGCAAGTATTTTTAGATAAGATTAGATTTCCATATCTTACTACAGGGGTATTATTATTGCTGAAGAAGAGATTACTTAAGCTGCAATCAAAGCTGTATTTTAAAAACATGCCACACTGTGCACGTGTAATGTGGGATTTGATCACCTGATAGCAGTGAAATAATTTTTATATACAATAAAATCAAGTTAGGTCAGCCCTTTAGTTTCTTACTAGAGCATATAAATTTAAAGCTGAGGTTGTAATTGCTTTTATTTTTTATATTATTTATTTATTTATTTTGGTTTTTCGAGACAGGGTTTCCCTGTGTAGCTTTGCGCCTTTCCTGGAACTCACTTGGTAACCCAGGCTGGCCTCGAACTCACCGAGATCTGCCTGGCTTTGCCTCCCGAGTGGTGGGATTAAAGGCGTGCGCCACCACTGCCCGGCTATTTTTTATTTTTGTTTATTTGTTTTTTGTTTCGGCTGTCCTGAAACTCATTCTGTAGACAAGGCTGGATTCAGGGATCTGCCTGCCTCTGCCTCCCAAGTACAGGAATTAAAGGTGTATGCCACCGTTGCCCAGCTTGCTTTTGTGTTTTATCTTCATTTCAGCTGTGTAGCCCAGGCTGACATCTAATTTGAGATCTTCCTGCCTGGGTCTCCTGAGTGCTAGGATTACAAGTGTGTCCCACTATGCCTGACTTGGCTGACATGTACTCTGTCAGTGCTTCTCAACTTTCTTTCATACACAAAAGTAGTTTTTGATAGTATACTAAGGTAGATGATGTTGTTGGAATCTGGCAGCACCTAGCCAGGGAGTTGTGCCAACCATCAGGGAGGTGCCCATGTTGTGGGGAAGCTGCTGTTGCTAGGGTTCATCAATATACAGCTCCCTGTGGTGCATTTCACACTTTGATGCATTCTTTCCTATTTTGCTTCTTCTCCTCTTCCTACTAGTTCTTTTGAAAATAAAGTCAGAAATCACCAAGTAAGATTATAAGATAATATTTTAAGATAACTTTTTCTTTAAAAAATTTTTTTTAGATATATTTTTATGTGTATGGGTGTTTTGCCTGGCATGCATATCTGTATACCACATGCATGCCCGATGCCTAAAGAGGCCAGAAGAGGGCATTAGATCCCCTGAAACTGGAGTTATAATTGTGAGCCACCATGTGAGAACTGGGACTGGATCCTGGGTCCTCTGGAAGAGTAACAAGTACTCTTAACTGCGGAATCTGAGCCTTCTCTCCAGACCTAAGAGCTCCTGTTTTTTTTTTTTTTTTTTTAAGGGTTTTAGAGACAGAGTTTTTCTGTATAGGAGCCCTTGCTTCCCTGGAACTAGCTCTGTAGACCAGGCTGACCTTGAACTCACAGAGATCTGCCTGCCTCTGCCTCCTGAGTGCTGGGATTAAAGGCGTGCTCCAGCCCTGTCAGGTGAAATACTTAGGCTTTCATACATATTTTCCAAATTTAGTATTTAGCCATTTTGTTCAGATTCCTTTTAAAATAGAAGTTTTAAATTTTACTTCATTGATGCTGGCCATGGTGGAGCAAACCTTTAATCCCAGCACTTGGGAGGTAGGGCAGGCAGATCTCTGTGAGTACTAGGCCAGTCTAGTCTACAGAGTGAGTTCCAGGACAGCCGGCAGGGCTACATAGTGTGAGACGGTGTCTCAACAACAACAACTTTTTTGTTTTGTTTTTTTTTAACCTGATTAGGACAAAGTGACTGGGTAGGGCAATGAACTACTAAAATCTGTATGTTTTCCTGATTTGACCCCTTTTATGTGTCTAGTCTTAGGAATTTAGCACATAATAGGTGATGTTTGTCTACTCTAAATAATGTAATTGTAAGGAATGGTTATTCTTTGTGGACACCCTTCTTTTTTCTCCCTGTGGGCCCCCCCCCACTTTTTTTTCCTTTTTGTGACAGGGTCTTACCATGCAGCCATGGCTGTCTTGGAACTGGTTATGTAGAGCAGAGCTCACAGATCTTTCTGCCTCTACTTACCACGTGCTGGAATGAAGGGTGTGCACCAGCACCTGCAGCCCTGCCTTTTCATCCTCTCTCACTGAGTTGGGTCTTATCTTGGATTGTTTCCAGCACTTTGTTCAAGTTATTGGCTATAGTGATTCAGAGAGGTAGCATATGGGCTCTTGTCCTACCTGTCTGGTTGCCTTGACAATTAGATGCTACCTTCTTATTTGTCGATGTCATAATTAAGGTTTTAGCATAATCAGAAATTGGAAAATTGTCATCTTGGATTCTGAAGCTTATTGACTATCGGGGAACTTGAATTCTGAGTCTGAAGTCTGCTGGATTCTTTAGTAATAGGGTAGCCAGAGGTATCAGAGTAAGTGCCAAGGGACTAGGGAATCTGCATAGTGTAGAACTGAGGGTGTTCTGTGTAAATGACAAACATAAGTGGTCAAAAGCATAAAGTGATGGTATGTGCTTTTTATTTTTGCATTCTATCACATAGGTTTTATGGAATCTCTTCTTTGTCTTGGAAGTATATGGATTTTTAACCCTTCAAGCTCCCTTCCCCAATAATTCCATGAAAGCAGGAAAAAGTATTTTTCTCTTTTAAATATGGACAAAGCTTGTGAGTACAAGAAAGATTGGTCTGGCGCCGGGCGGTGGTGGCGCACGCCTTTAATCCCAGCACTCGGGAGGCAGAGCCAGGCGGATCTCTGTGAGTTCGAGGCCAGCCTGGTCTCCAAAGTGAGTTCCAGGACAGGTGCAAAG